GCCCTGAGGACTATAATGGACAGGTATGACTGCACAGTTCACCATTGCTCCAACAGATAATCAGCACAAATGATACTAAAAAATGTCCTTGCATCATCTCACATCATACTTACAGTTGACCATTCATTTCTCTCTGAGTTCACTTGCTCAAACGTTTCTCTTATCATATCTAACTGTACTACTGCAAACAAAACACTATTTTATGATGAAGATCTCTTAATCACTCATTGTTTTATGTTTTAAAAACATTAATGACTATTAAGTTCTAACTTTAACACGTTCATGTTTAAATAAAAGACAGGTTATTCCCCCTCTTACAATAGTGTTATAGATTTATTGCTTTATATTTTTTCTGAAAGATTTGATTAGTTGTACGCCATGGTGCATGACATGTATATTCTTATCTCTTGGTATTTGATTAACTTGGATCTGGCTCCTAGTGATGACCAGTTTTCTCAGTCCAATTAGAATCCACAGCACAAGAGCTGCCATAGTTTCCAATTGAACAAATAATGATCTCCTTTTTGAAAGGTATGAATCACACAAGAGAACAACTCAGCTACAAAACACCATTCATGAGCATCAAACAAAAGGCACTAAAAGTCGTGTTTGTTCTCCTGTCCTCAGGCTGTCCAGCAGCCCGTTCCCCATCTCTGTTCTCTCACCTCGGGAAGGACAGACTGAGAGGAGGAGGGACGACGGGAATAGGAGCTGAGTTTGGAAGTGCAGAGATGAAAGGAAAGAGGAAGGAAGGAAGGAAGGAAGGAAGGAGGGAGGGAGGGAGGGGTTGGAGTCAATGAGGGAGGAAGACACAACTGCTGCTGTCCATGGTGGATTCACACAACAAATGAGGGGGGAACAGATTTCACATAGAGAGCGACAGAACGAGGGAGTCGAGTCCCAAAGGGAGATGGAAACACAGGGACGGAAAAAGGGCTGACGATCCATAAAGACACCGGCTGGCGCTCCCTGGATGTGGCAGGCTGATTTACACCCGTACACTCCCCACATGCACGCACGGTCACACCAATCGACTAACACAACAAACACCCTCCCATCCAAAATGCGTACGAAGACATGTGGCTACAGCAGAGTGAAGAACAGTGATCTTGAGAGGAACACTGAAACACCAGATTGATTTTCAAAACAGAAGGGTTGAGCAGGTTGCGTTCAGATTAAGGTGTCCCTCATTGTGCAGCCGTCTTTGTTGAGGAGTCCTGTAACGCCTCGGGCCCGCTGGTTGAATTTGCTCGAGCTCAAGAGTGAAACCCACCAAGAATATTTGGAGTGCAATCAATCACAACCCCTCCCTGCGTGAGTGGATGCTAGATTTATTTTTTAAATGTGTCTGTAGATTACGGGGGATTATGAGTATTTGAGGGTGAATGAGCGTGAGTGTCTGCAGGAACGAGGCCGTGTCTCTCCATAGGTAAACGATAGGAGGATGCAGAGCAGAATATCGTGACGGCTTCCACGTCTGCTGGAGGGGGCGAGGTTAAGTTGCGCCCTCGCTCTGTGTGTGGCTGTGATAGGTCATGTCTTGTTTTTTACCTCACCGCCGGTAGGGCTCTGTCCTCACTGCAGCTCCTATCGTCAGGATCTTGTGTGTTCCTCTATAGCTCTTTATCAACTTAAGTCTTATAATGACGTATATACAGACTGGTCACTGTATCACAAATTTGTAGCAAAAATAAGTGCCCAGACCAACTACATAAAAAAAAAATAAAAGAAAGAAATACACCGCACACACAGGCACCCGAGTTACTACTATAACCTGCCTGCATGCATACACCAACACGTAGACACACACATACACACAAGCACCTACCTGTGTTTGTGTTAGAATTTATGGGACACCTTATATATAGACACAATATACATTTGGATCGGATGTGTACAAAAAGAAGACAGACTGTGCTTTCAACTGTTAGACGGGGACACACGTGACGATGTGAAGAGAAAAAATCTCCCAGAGGATTTTATTTACCAGGAACAGACTTCCTCAGCGTCCAGGCAACTGTTGTGCACCCATTCAGACCTTCTGCCCGGGGGAGGCTGGATAGGAGAGGGGAGGGGAAGAGGACAAACTGCCATTTTCTTGCTCTTTCCCACCCAATCCCCCCTGCTCCTTCCAGGAGTGGCCCCCTTTCTCTCTCGACTAAATCCAGGAGGAAACACGCAGCCCCCTGGCCCAACGGGGATCTGAGAGTAACGCTTATATTGAATTTTAATACTATGATTGTTCTTACAATTTTTAAACTTTAAATGAAAATACTGGAATACCGATACGAAGAGATTTATTGTTACTATTTATCATTACTATCATCGTCCTTACTGTTATTGCAGCTGCAGAGAGTTCCCGGTTCTCGCCTTGGGAGGCTGAGGTGGCGCTCTTGTGCAGCCAGTGCTTTTTCTGACTGTGTGGTGAAGATAATGGCATTGGTAATATATTTAAATATATTCAGTATATATATATATATATATGTATATGTAGGTATTTTTTAACTGAAAGATTCATTCTATTCCGTGCACTGTACCCTTAACATTGCTTCTATGTGAAAAGAAGCATTGCAACTTAAATGTGAAGCACATTTTCAATCACGTCTTTCCATCCTTCCTGTTGAGGCTTTATTTAAAATGACACTTCTAAAGCCTCAAAACGTGAATTTTCTCCCTTTTTAAAACTTACTTGCCACTTTAATATCATTATGCAGATGCTAAAAATGTAGCAACTGTTACTGTGGGGATGCCCAGGATTCACAAAGGTGATTAATCACTTTATTCAAACACTTCCTAACAAATGCTAACTTTTTTTCTTCCAATTCTGGACAACAGCCGCCCGCTCGCCATCGATCACACATTTAAACCTTTTTATCGTTTCCTCATCAGCTTTCATAGCACATTTCCATCCCATCACAACCTCAGTCCTGCTTTTCTCACTGTTGCTGAGATCAAAAATAAGGGCTCTCTCATGACCTCACTACCTTGAACAACACTTCACCTCTCCTGCTGCTTCCGAGTCCTCGAACACATATCGTGCATTTTACATCAGGGGGGTCGAAGGGTTTCCTCTGACCCTGCTGTCCTTAGTCTATTTTTGCAAGAAGATACATGGGTTTACATAGATCATGTCGCTCAGAGTGCACACACACAAAGGCTATAAATGTGAATGAGGTCAGTAAAAGGGATTTGTTCATGTGATTTATCTGTGCTGGTGGTTGAGGGAAGATTATATTTGAAGGCAAGAGAAATAGCAATAAGGACGATGAAAATAATGGTCATCTAATTATGGTTTAAGATATAAAAAGAAGTCTCAAAAGTTCTAAAGAATCTCTGTCTTCCAAATAATGTTTAACATGAAAAGGTAAAGATGTATTTATTTAACTGTTCTGCTTTCTATCCAGTTGGACCTGTTCTCTGCATCTGCCCCCTTCCACTGTTAAACACCTGACAGCATCATGAAGAGCTCCACTGTCTCAGCTCATCATTTGCTGCTTCTCGTTCGAACAAAGCACCTTCTGCAATCTCATCCTTTATTACCAGCATATTATGCAATGACCCTATTTCCATTAGCAACTGTGACTTTTTGCATTTTCCCTTTAGAGGTTTGGAAATGTCAGCTTAAAACAAACGGGGGTGTTTCTGAAAAAGGTAAATAAGCAGAATGTGGCCGAACTCATTCTACAGCCAAGATTCTGCTCGTTTTCTATCAGGTTTCTGAAACAGGTCGCTGGTGTAAATAGGGACGATAAATAACTTTGGATGAGAACGTTTTAAAAACATCTCTTGCTGATACAGTGATGTTCTATCGTTCAGTGGCTGGTGTTTTTAATCATTTCATTGCCACGTTCACCGGTTGTGATGAAGAGTGACGGCTCGTTGCTGCTGTCAGGAGAAAAAGTTTTAGATGCAGGAATCGGTCCGACTCCATAGAAAGTGTTTCTTTTCCTTTAAGAGATCTTTTTAAAAAATGAGAATATGAGCTGACGAAAGGTAACTTACAGAATATATATGTATATGTGATATGCATATACGCACATTCATATAATCATATGAATTTCAAATGTTTTAAGAGATAATAAATTGTTAGAATTATAATAAAGATACAGAAACAAAGTTCTAATTTATGTTCTGTGATTTTTCTTGAGTGAAAAAACACTTTTCTGCTTAATAGGCCGCAAACATGTCAGGACCTCTGCAGATGGTTTGAATTTGACAATGGTCTTCAACTGTACTAACACTGAGTGACATCAGATAGATTAGAGTTGATCTGTTTTAAATAAATACAATAAACACCACTAGTAGTTTCCACAACTACATTATACCATATGGGCTGAGAGTATTGCAGTAAGATGTACATATCTAATAGTTTAGTTTGCTAATTTAACTGTTATCAAAAAAACTAAGCTTATGCTAATTTAATATTTGACCCACATTTTAAATCATGTCCAGAGAATTCATTATATTTTAAATCAAATTGTGGAGTTTCAACACATGATTTGATAAACAGTCTGATGGTGTCTTACATTTCTTATTGCTCTTATATGTAAAACATACAAGGATCTCATTAGTGAGACCTCGACAACTTTTACATTTTGTCAAATGGATCTTGGAGTACAATGGACTCAAATAACTACAGCAATGTTCCCCAGAATTTAATTAATGAGTATGCCATATTTACAAAGTTAAGATATTATACATATTTCATTGCACCATTAATGCCATGATCCTGTTTTCCATATTTTATCTGTATTCAGTAATTATTGTTTCCAATTTACTTCCACTCCCTCAGATATAACAAAATGGTGCAGCCACTAACACTAAAAATTGGAAAACTCTTTAGTTTTTGTCTAAAACCTTGTTGACGACTGAGATTTGTCATTTAACTTACACCCAAGAAACCCACTGACAGTGGTTCACATTTCAATAATGTACTGTTCCATACTCTAGTATGATGTTTGTAAAAAGGTGCAGAAACGAAATATTTAAAATTCAGACTTTTATTTGACAAGTCAGAGCAAAGAAAACATAATTCATTTAAGAATATTCACAATGAAAGAAAAACAAAGATGTGCTGACGGACAGATGATGTCCGTGTCTGAGAATCTGTACCTGAAAAAAAGGAAAACATCTGTCACCAACAACTCAACATCACAATCCTCCAATGTTTTAACCATCATCTGCTCAGACTCCGCCTTGTCAAGGGCAGAGGTGCACTTCTGTCACCACTGATTTTCAGAGCCCAGTGCTAAGCATCACTACAGATGTGTTGAGTGTCTGCTGGACACAGCGTTACGATACATACCTTATTCAAGTCCAGACGAGGAGTGATGTCACCTGTTAGAAGACCTGAAAAAGGACAAAACAAAGGGTTAATGTGTTGTTTTTAACTAACGCTCGACCATCACTGGTTTAATGTCTCCTCAGAAACTCTGGCTTGTCAGGGCCAAAGATGCACGTCCTCTCCATACAGAGTCAGAGCCCAGTGCAAGTCATCAGGGGAGAGAAACTGTTTAAAGCCACATAACATCAAACCCAATCGGCTTGAGGGGAAAAATAACTCTACTCGTATAAATCTTATCAAAACAAACTTCAGTATTGACATGCAAAGTTTTCTAACGGGATGCATCGATGCTTCGCTTCAGCACAACAAATATGTGTTCTTTAAGTCTGCTTCCAATGCAACATCCCTGATACAGTCACAACACTGGATTAATTGCACTTAATGTAAATTGGATTTGTGTTTGTGATCCATTGAGGCGTCAATACCAGTTCTGACTTCAATTTCTATTGGGTGCACCGCCCTCTAGTGGTGACACTTCATTACAACACCTAGGTTCAGTAGACTATTTAAGACTGTGGCTGCCTTCACAGTTTGCAGAGCTGAGGACACTAAGAAGAACACAAAGACCCCAGACTTACCTGTGGAATCAGACCAAAGGCAAAGCTGGACGTGGTGTTCAAAGTGACCTGAAAAGACAAAGACATTAGGTGTTACTTGATGTGTTGTCTCGATTGCTTGATGAATCGCTTCAGGAGTTGATAAATGATTGTCTCCTCAGAATCGCTGGCTTGTCAGGGCCAGAGATGCACGTTGTCTCCATTCAGACTCAGAGCCCAGTGCACGTCATCAGGGGAGAGACACTTCAAATCCACTAAGTGCTGGACATTACAGCTACACATCGATTGACTATTGAGCTTTTTATTACACTGATAAACCTAATATCTCTAAATATACACAATATGACGTATATAATATAATAACATTGAGACACTGACTACATTTTATAACATTGTCTTCGTTCCCTTAGCTTACAATGACTATCTGGATCATCACACTGTTAGCTAACATGCTAACAGCACCTACCAGGCTCACCACGTGGAAACAGGCCCTGAGTTTTCCTGCTTCTCAGTGAATCAGCAGCGAATGTGAACATGGACAAACTAATCACAGGTAACAACCGAACTCCATTAAAGAAATGCGGCATTTAAAGTCGCCGTATTCTACAATCAGACAGCAGGAGGTCTATGGATGACCACGTGCTTTGAGTCGTATCCACACGTCCTTGTGTTAACTTCGGCAAACAACACAACCAACAGAGCCACAATCTGCGTGATATAATCCACTAATCTTCCACTTTAACGTCAGGATATTTGAGCATATTTCACTGTAGAGTCTATTCTGGTGAAAGACACTTGGCAGCTGTGATGGAGGTTGTTCACTGGCTGGAGAGAAAATCAGCAGATTCCCTGTAAACACTTCTTACATCTGTTCTGATTGAATCTGTCGCATGATCGAGTTAAACCTGACATTCATTAAATACATGTTGACTCACCGTTAGAAGCGACTGTGTCACCACCGAGGAAGACAGCGACCGACTGACCGCTGCCGCGTCTTCTTACTCTTTCCAGTATCAGCGGCTGGCAGCCGGTTTATGTCTAATGTATTGTCGCCATCTAGTGGGCCGGAGTGGAAGTCTACATCATGTTTGCTTGACAAACATTTCATTTCCACTAGTTGAATTGGAAAATGACATATTTTGTTGATATTTGCTAAAAGTAGAGAATGAGCCAGTGACACAGGAACTGTGGCAAGATGAGATGATGATCTGGGCAGAGCAGCTAATGAACTGAATGAACCCTGTGTCACTCTCCAGTTTTGAGACCTTTCTTTATTTAAAATAAAGAGTTAAATATATGTTTCATTTTTTCAAGATAGCAATAATCAGTATAGGATTCATAAAAATGAATTGTCTTGAATACGCCATTAATAATCCATCATCATGAAGGAATTGTATCTTGAGCCACATGTTTTCCATTATTTTGCAAATGTGACTTTTGTAAAATCATAACTTAAACTGTTTCACTTTCAGAAGCAGATTGTTTGTTCTTGTCTCTCTAAGTTATGGGTGGCCTAAGATAAGCCTTTTGAAAAAATAAAATTATAAAGTCTGGATTGACCATAGAAACAAAGTTCATGAATTTATTTGATTAAACATTGTAACATTAACACTGTTTTTAACTGTTCAGTTTGTAGACTTGCCTTTTAGAGTTTTGTGTTCTATTCATTTATTGGAGCCAAAACATTCCTTAGTGCTGAGAAAGATACACACTCATAGATTTGAACAAAAGTAAACTTGTCCCGACTGCACCAAAACATTTTGTGACATATTTATACCAACACATGAAGTTATTTTTAACATCACGTAATATGGATCTTATTCCACTTGTTGACGTTTCCTGTCTCCTGGAACTATTATCATTTTTAATTACAGGCCCTCCCAGTGTTGTCATGATATCTGTCTGCCGTCCTTTAGGATCTGATTACAGGATCTCTAACGTAGGATTATTGTTTCCTAAGAGCAGGCTGCAGTTGGGCGTAAGCAGTGCAATGTATAACAGCTGTTATGTACATGGCGTGTTGTGGCATGACAGAGTTTCACAAGTTCAGCATAGTATGGAGTTGTTATGTTATGTCACCAAGAGCGGGATACAGTGTGAGTTTGAACAATTCCCTTCCTCAGGGGCCTCTGACTCTTCAAAGTTGTATGTAACACACACACACACACACACACACACACACCCCGGATGTGTCCTCCAGCTGTGGAGGCAGGCCTAACAAACTATCCTGAGGGAATGTTGTGGCTTGTGGGGTGGAAAAAGGGGGTTTGAAGACAAGCAACAGAGGGATAAAGTTTCCCTTATCTGGTCATGTTGCTTTGTGCTTCTTCGTAAAATAAAAAAACATAGTTGATCGGCCAACAAACACTCACACAACCCAACATGCAGACTCTGGTTGGGTGACTCACCTACACATGCACACACACACAAACAATCCCCCCCAAAAAAGAAAAAAAACAACATGGCCTGCTTTATTAACACCACTCTGAGGGAGGTGACGCGAGTCAATGAAAGCAAAGAATCGAGAGATGATCTCCGGCAAGTGGTGAAGTACAAAGAACAAGAGAGTAAGTTTCCTGCAGCTGTTCTGGAGAGAGAGAGAGACAGAGAGAGAGAGAGAGAGTAGGAGGGAGGGAGGGAGGGTGTGAGGTAGGAGAAGGGAGAGAGAGAGAAAAAAAAGAAGCCAACTCATCTGACACAAACAGTGGGCCAAAGAAAGGGGAAGAGCAGGAGCAGCAGTGTCCAGAACGAGTGGAAAAATCAAAGTTGGAGAGGGTGAAGAGTAAAAGAAGACGAGTCAGGAGGGAGAGGAGCCTGAGAGTCCGCACACAGATTGGAGAGAAGAGGGAGAAAAGAAAGTTTTAACCAGCACAAAGGAGGAAAAAAAGGGGGTGAAAGCAGAGAGGGCCCCAACATTCAGAGAGAGGTAAGGAACTCCTGCCAGAGCTGGACGTCTGCATTTCACAGAGATCTGATGGAGTGATTGAGCTCCTATTTCTGCTCCGTGTGTTCATCTGTTTCTAAATATTTCCCCCATGCCATATGTGTGTGTTGAGTTATGTGTGACAGATGAAACGGGGACAGGGGGAGGAGTGATTGTGCCAGGGTGCGTTCAGAATACTGGGGTGAAAGAGTTCGGTTGGTTGGAAGCTCCAGATGGGCTCTTACAACCCTGATGAGCTTTAGCTGGTTATTGTTACTGTCAATCCGGAGGTTTTTTTACTCTCTGGAAAGTCTGGACTCATGCAAGCTACTTGATCACTGGGAGAATTTTGAAAGCTCGGGGACCAAATTTCCTGTCTGACCCAGCAGGAGATCATAAAACGTTTGAAGGATCCATGGTGGAATCAGATCTGTGCTTGTAGGTGGTGAGTCATAGAGTATTCCCTCTGTTGTACTTATAGGAAAATTGAGTCGTATGCAAAGTTATACACTTTTAACCACTTACTGTCAACTTCTGTTGCTCAATGAGTAAGTTAGGAATATGGAGATCAACTGAGCAGACACCGCAACCAACCACAATCGGTTTTATTTATGTAATTTAAGATGTCAGACTTGACTGGGAGAATCCTGACTATTTAGAGCACATTTAAATTGAAAATACAGATGTGAAATCCTATGTGAAAGGCCCATGTGGCAAAGTGATTCCAGTCAAAACTCTTGCACAAAACTGAAGCCTAATGCTAAGAAAGAGTACAAAATCATATTTGAGTGCACAAGTGGATCACAGCAAAGTTTTCACCACACACACACACACAAGTTGAACGTCAGAGAGCATGCAGTGAAACTTGCAGGAATGCACCACATTAATTGATATTAGCAGATCTCCCCCCACCCCCCACGCTCTTCTGAAAACTCAACCATATACCCGGAGGACAGCCGCTCAGTGATGGGACAGGATGTCCAGGTCAAGGGTTAAAAGGGAGAGGGGAGGGGGGTGATTCATTTTTTTTGTGACCTCCTGTGGATCCCAGGGTTGTGTAATTCTTCGAGGCTCTTGGTTTCTCAGGGATACAACAGAAGATCCAGACAGGGAGAGAGACATGGCATTATGCTCTCAGTGGAGCATGTGATGCCCCGTGAACAGCAGGATGGGGAGGAAAATCATGGAATCTAATTGTGCTTCTAAGAGGAGTGTGAGGGGACATGGCTGCGGGGAGGGAGCACAGGAACCAAGGCTCCACGTTCAGTGTGCGCATGCTTCAAGGGTGTGAAGATGCCAGGAGGCAAAACGCTGGTGTGAGCTTAAATATTAAACTGGTAAAGGTTCTTTTTCAGAAAGGGAACTGAATGAGCGTCATCACAGAAACTGCATGTGGAGGACTTTATTTTGAATGAGACAGAACTTCAGTGTTTCAGTGTCCATGTGAGCTTGTGTCTGTGATTGGTTTAGGAGCATTCGAGGTCTGCAGGTGTTTCTTTATGCAATAACAGAAGAACAGACAGGGCGGTCAGCATTGGGGAATTAAAGTGAGTGCGACTGATATGATGTGTGTTGACCTGTAGCCCCTGTTTATTTTAGGATGGCTCATGTTTCAAAGCTGGAATCGCTGTGAGAAGTTGTCATGGCTCGTGAGACGCTGCACGGCTCCTGGTTCAAATTGACTTCCACCTTTAATGGGTTTACAGAACCTCCTGACACGTGTTACATCTGCTCTATATCATAGGACTGACAAGAGTGCACTGACGTCAGCTGAGTTCATGCTTTCCTATGACACAACCACAAATAGACAAACATTAGAGCAGTGATTATAAAACAGACTGTAAATACAAATGGATGACACGTCTCCGCTTTCTTCTGTAGAGTGAAACCGAAGCCAAAATATCCAAGTTTTAGAGTCAGTTTTACATCTGTGCAGTAGTGATCATGGCGTGGAGCTGCGATATCGAAACCCAAGCGACACACACACTTCGAACAACGTATCGTGAGTCAGTCTCAGGGTGAGTCAGTGTCGGCTGTTTATAATCATGATTTTGGTGCATGTCTCATCCACGAACAAGGAGGAGTCAGGGATAATGATCTATACTACTTCCAGCCACTAGGATGCACTTTTCAGGAACTGTCCATCATTACACAGTCTATGTCACAAAGCAGACCTATTTGTATGTGGAAAGATTGATCAACAGCTCACTTATATATAAAGTCAGCTGTAACACTTGAACACAACCGGCTGTGAATAAGAGTAAACTATAAATTATAGTTTAAATAACAAACCAAAAGTAATAAATACATTGTTGAAATAGTTTGCTGAATGTAATAGATGTAGGATTGAAATGTTCATGTTTAAAACTTACCTGAACATAACTGTTCTATGAGAGTGGATGAAGACAGGCCTGTGGGATCTGTCTGACAGAAACACTGCTGGCATCTTAACAGACCTGACATCTTCACTGAATCTTATTCAAGCTCACATTTTTATCTCCGCCGAAGAAGGTGATGTTTTCATCATGCATTTGTTTGATAGTCGGCAAAGTTACACAAAAACTACTGGATGGATTACCATGAAACTTGGAGAAAGGGTGTTTTATGGGTCAGGGAGGAACATTGAGAGAGAGCATGTTTTTTAACATTTTCCTTGATTTCTCAGATAATAATTCATGGATCTTGATGAGAAAAACCTTTGTTAAGGGGACTGATATTAAGTGTGTGTATTTGGGTGCAGATCCAAATATAAATCTGGATCTAGTGAATTTAAATGTGTTTCCTTGTTGGATGTATTCCCCCCTACTGAGTGAGATTGTCCACAATGTTGGAGAGATAATCATATGAGAATAAAGTCTGTTATCAGTGTAGTTCTTAAACTGATAAGCTGCAACATTATACTGGTTTTATGTCGGTGTCGATAAGTGTATATGTAGTGTGCCTGATCAATACTCAAATAGCTTTGTAAAGGTTGAGACCATTCCTAAAGGAAGGCTTCTTTTTAAACCCTCATCATCTATGTTGGGAAGCCAGTAACAGAAAGGTCAGTGTGCAGATTAACAGACAAAGTGAAATTAATCATTTATTGTTTACTAATCATTTATTGTTTACTCTGTCAGAAAACAGGATGTCGACACTGCCATCAGAAACCAGCCCTGAAGATGCCAACAATCGCAGCTTCTGGATGGTAAGAATAGTGTACTCTATCTGTGTATGTGTGTTTTCTGTTTGAATTCTTTTGGAACGATGATATACACAAGATAGCTCATGCCTCCCTCCCTCTCTCAAGCCTGTGACCTTCCAGTCAAAACAAACGTGACAGTTTTTTCGTTCAGGCTACGTATCAGTGTAAACATGGCTGTGTTTTCATTTTTAAAAGTGAATAGTGACCATTGTACGCAGGGAACCTTGCTTGGGTTGAACTGAGCTCAGGGACGGTTGTTATCAGCTTTAGGTATTTGATTGTCAGCTCTTGCTTGACAAAGATGTCTGTTCAGGGTCTCGTCTCTGGGGATCTGGGACATGTTTTCTCCATTTACATTGCTCTCGGCAACTTCATTCATCTGCTATCATTATATGGCTTGGTATATTTTTATTTGTGGTGTCTTCTGCTGGATAAGGGAAAGTATTCAGCTCCTGTCCAAAGACATTTTACATTTTTTAAAGATTACACATGTTTGGCAGATAGATTTGTCCAAAAGGACTTATAAATGCTGTTTTAGAAAATACTCTTTGTTGGAGAGCCTTTAATGGTAAGAGGTGGACAATTTTTTCACTCCAGCATTCTTGAACTTGCTTTCAGACATGCACCAAAGTCTGGATATTTCCCTGAAAGGTTCTGGAGAGGCTGTATGTGAGAACAAAATGTCCAGAAAATGTCCAAAACAGGATGAACATGAAACTTGAAGAATACAAACAGAAAAAGAAGATCCATAAACATACAATATTAACTTGGAGAGACAACAACAATCAAGATTTTTTGTTGACAACGGAAGACGTGTCAATGTGCTGTCGACCAAAACTTGTGATTTCTGTAGCAGAATTCATACACTATGTGAATGTTTCACACATTTTCCCCTTGACTCCTTCTATGTGAAAGATAAACTACAGAAAATGTCCGGACCCAATTTTCTGGACTCCCAAAACATCAATCTGTCCCTTTAAAATAAGGATCTCAACCATTAAGTCGCATTACATGAATTAAAAAAACCTGACATCTTTTATGTTGTACTAAGTGACAAACCAGGACCACAATCTCTCACTGAATGCAATATTTTATTAACAGGATTCCGTAAACGAGAAAGATGATGGGGAACTATTCCATGGAATTAACATAGATGGAATATAGAACAAAGATGTAAAGAAAAATAAATCAATATCCAATAAATGAGGTAACTAATAAACTTAATAAATGGCAAGCCTACGTCACACTGTATCCTCTCATTGAGATTCACACTGACAGCAGAAGATAAAAAGATTCAGTTTCATTTTTCACAAGAATCGTATGTGATATTATATTTTAGTATATTTTATTCCTTGTGACTGTCCTGTTTTAAATGTTCCCATTCAGCAGCATGTGACAAACGTCATCCTGTTGGACTCCAGCACTTTGTGAACCACAGTGCGCTCCGTTTACGCGACACAGCTCTGTTCAGCCACTGTGTTTTAAAGCTGAAAACACGTCCAGCATTCGAAGTGGCTGACTGTCTAATTTGCTGTGTGCTGCCACTTTAATATTGGCTTTGTCTCCCGTTGGCCTCGATGGGCCGCCCCACTTTCATCTCTCCTCTCCTGTAATTTTGGCAGCCTCCCGCTGTGCTGCGTGTGTTTCCAGGCCTTTTCCTGTGTGCTTCATCCTGCTGCCATGCTCAGGGGCTTTCTGTCATTATACTGCAAAGTTAAGCCCCTATGTTTTATATTTGCAAAGTCACACAAGAGGTGAGCAATCACAATGGATTCTGTGAGAGTATACAAGTGGGCCATTCATTCTAATAGATCCATACACGTGGCTGTGACGCTTTAGACTCCGTAGTCTATTCATGTCCAATCTGCATCATCACGCTCTTGTGTTGTGTTCTCCTTCCACTGCTGTGAACAGATCATTTTATGCAGTTATAGATATAAAACAGAATGGGATTGTGTTTTTAATTAGCAGCAGATATTGTAGCTGGCTTTGGCATTCTCTTAATCTGTTGTGGAGTGCTGTGCAGTGTCTCATAAAATGGCCATGTTTTTTTAAAAGCCCCTAGGAAGGAGATTAATTCAAAACACATGAGTTCAACTGTTCTGCTGCAACATGTCTCAAACTATATCTACTACTATTCTTACTTTTAGACACATTAACCTACAAGTGCACAGCAATTCTTTTATTGTAACTTCACCTTTTGAAGTGTGTCTCACAACTGCATAATACACATACAACTTACTAGACTATCTGCTGCCGCAACATCTAAATGTCTATGGCGTGGGATCAATAGAGTTTATTTGATCTCATCTTTCCTATCTTATCTTATTTTAACATTGTACATCACTGACATCATCAGATGACTAATCCTGAGATTTAAACAGTCTGTTGGCACGAGAGAAAGAAGAAGCAAATCTCTACTTGTGGTTCTCGGCACGTTTTGTGCGCACTGATACGCTTTGTAGTCAGTAATACTTGTGAAATGTGATTTTTCTGCAGAGGGCCGTGGCCCCATTTCCTTTGACGCTGCATTTGGTTGCTTGGACAGATTCTCTACCAGCAGATTTGCATCTGCCTCAGAGATTGGCCGAATGAGTCTTTGCAGCGTTGCTGCTGGCCTCAGACTGGATTCCTCAGCTGTTTCTGTTTAACTCTCAGACGAGTGAGGGGATTCAGAGAAAACCACAACAGAGGCAGAAAGAAAGAAAGAAAGGAGAGAGGGAGAAGGGGGGGCAGCACCGATGAGAAGAACCCCCAGTTGAGTCTGATTAAGGCTAAAGGAAACTTAAGTGTTTCATTCAAAGTAGGGTGAATATGGGTAATCTGGGACTTTGGGTAAAGTAGGACACCTAAACCTTGACAATAGGTTAGCATGGACATCATGTGACTGAGATCACAGTCACATTCTGACAAGATTAATGTTAATGATAAAAATAAGACAATGTTCCAGTTGTTATCAAATTATGTTGGTGATGTATTCATGCAACAAAATATGCATTAAGATGTTGAAATGCTTTGGGTGATCTGGGACAGACATTGAAGTTCTCTAAATGGTGAAATATGCATTTAAGAACTGAAGAGATGTAGCATAATGTCTGCAGTCAGACAGGAGTTAATGGTAAATACAGTCTCTCCCTGTCTGTTTAAACTGATAACTAGCACATAATCAGTTTGCTCTCTAGGACAGAGATGATCCAAAAAGCAGATCAATGATGATAGTCCCTCA